CTGCCATAGTTCGATGCCGCTGTGGAGATAGGACGTGGCGAGGGGGGCTGTGCTCTGCCTCTGCTGGGAGATCCAACAGAGAAATGGCTGATGGGACAGCCATTTGAGTCAAGCTTTGGGGGCACTGCAGAGTGCCCCTTCCTGGCGAGATTGGTCCTGCAGAGCCTAGCTGACTAGGCTCGGTGGCCATGTGTAGGATCTTTTCAAGACGAATGGTTGGCTGGGAGTCGACTGTCAAGTCGACGTTTCCTAGAGTCAATGCCTGTTCGTCAATCATGCTGTCAAATGCATGGCCTTGACATGTGACCTGAGGCCTGCTCGTGCATGGAGCAAGCTTGACAATGTCTGTTAGGCTTGCGCGAGCAGCCTTCTCGGACTGGATGGCCTGGGGCCTGAGTCCTGTTGGACTTCCAGTGTCAGCAGGTGGAGTGCCCGCAACTAGGGTGGGCACTTCAGCACTGTTGTTCGATTCACTTATGTTGGATGTGTCAGACTGCGAACCAGTGTGAGGTGGTGAACTAGACCCCGTAGGTCTAGGAGTCATGGCTGCTAATTGGGCCACCTGGATGGCCTGCTCCTTTGGTGATAGGGTATGGAACCCAAAATCATAACCGCGTGGGTCAGCTTTTAACACAGTTTGAAAGTCTGGATGTGGATTCTTGTAGCTATTTGGATTTGGATCTGCTGGTGGCGTCCGTGGACGTCCAATCCACTGGCGATCGGCCGGATCCTTCCAATACTCGTAGCTCCTGTGTCCAGTATCTATTATAATTGCTGGGAGCTTATCCAATTCCTCTAGTTCTTTTGTCATCTTAATGCTTCGTAAGCGTCGTTCTTCCTCATCTTTTGCACGTTGCGCTTCAGTTCTTTGTTGATCTTCCGGAACATGGTATGGCATATTTTGTTCTTCAGCTTTCGCAATTTCTAATGATCGGAAAGTCTCAGATTTTTCGGTATAATTAATGGGATTTGTGTCTCCCTCCCCCCTCGCATTTGGAACGAAATTTTTCGATTTCCTCGGTTGGGCGAAAACTCAATGGCATGTCGGGGTTTCGTCGAAGAAGTTGCGTTTCAGTGCGCTTGCGTGAATATTTGCGCTCTGTATGCTTGCGTTCCTTCTTTTTAATGATTGTAGCCGTTGCTTTTGGTGATAATTTGCGTTTGTGTTGTTGACGCTTTGCGGCTTTTGCTTGAGCTAGTGTG